TCCTCTGCGTCATTCCTCGGAGATCTCATTCTAAGACCCTGTTACTCCATGAGATACCCAGTGTACCTTTTGGCAACTGTGAAGCAGTGTTGTGTAAACCATCCCATGACCCTCATTTCTCCTTGCCTGAACTGATCGGTAAATTCAATGACGGGCAGTAGTTGTCCCAGTTACTAGTTAAGACAGTTCTACTGTTATGGTAAATCCCAGACCTTGTAAAGACTGGCAGCAGGAGGAGCTGGTGTGTTTAACTGCTAAGAAATAGGTCCAGGGATTCCTGTAGTATTTTCAGCTACTTGAAGAGGATGTAGGTGTATGTTTTTGTATAAGCTGTCTGGCAAGTTCATGTTGAATTTTCATAAAACACCAGGATGAGCCACTGAAGTAACTGGAAAGACTTTCCTTTTCTTTACTGAGGGTTGGATTAAGCCCTGAAGTGCCATGTCTAAAATACACTGGTAATGTAGCTTCGTTTTAAAATTGCTTGAGCTTGGGGAAGGGACAGCAGCAATTCCAGGTATCTGACTGTGTGTCTCTTTGGGAGTGATTTGATTTTATTTACTTACAGGATTTTTTTTTTTTAAGCCATTGCCCTGAGCGTTTCTTCACAATAAGCAGAACCGATGGCCTAAGGAGCTGAACTGCTGTTAGAGCTTATGCTGCTTGTTACGCTTAACTAATACTACTCAGTATTGTTCTTGCAATGGCTTCACTATTTCACAACTGGAAAATGGGATAAATTCATAGAAATTAAGCAGAGTTTATTTAAAAAGATACTAGAAAGTATTTTAAGACTTGGTGCAAGGATGATACCTTCAGTTTAGGTAAATGGCCTTGTAATATTCACCTGTCATGGCGGTGGTCGCCTACAGAAATACTGTGCTGCTGGCGACCTCCTCCAGGATTAGTACTAGCACCATCCGGCTGCTTTTGTAAGGACCGTAGGCAGATCTCAAAGGCAGTAATTTAAAATACATAAAATTCCTCAAGCAGTTTGCCAAAGCAATTTTAGTTATTGACTCTCAGCAGCCCGGTGTAGAGATTATGGGGTAAATATAGAATTTCACTAGCATATTTTGATGTTTAGGAGAACTGATTGAGTACTAGAACAAGAAGTGTGCTTTTAAAAGAAATTATGTTGTTATCTTAATTAAATTCCTTAATTATTCCCAAAGATGGTGTCCAAGCAGCATTTTCAAAAACATTACACGCTTGGAGATAGCTACCTGTTAGCCAAGTGGCTTTCTTAAGCACTTGGCAAAGCCAAGTTTAGAGCTCAGATCTTTGATTCCAGATTGCCTCAGCTATTGCTAGGTCTTGTATTGCTGCCGTGTTTTCCAAATTCAGTGTGTAAATCCTGGTGCCTGTTAAAATTTTATCTGACAGTGTCGGAACAAGCTAGACTAAATCTCTTGGTGGTAAGTATCTTATATGCTCTTTTTTGGAATCGGCAGTCTTCTGCCCTGAATTACACTTCTCTCAATCTCTCCCTGATATCTGCTTTAGCTAGCAATGTGCTGCCAAAGCCGAAATTGAGGTCTTCTGATCCTTTTTTCTAAAGGTATTATAGGATAGCTTTGGCTGCAAGAAACTTGTCACGACTGAAGTGGACCAATATTTTAAAATTCTGGGGAATTGGTTTGTGCCTGTTGGCTCTTGTTCTGCCACTGGGCTCTACTGACAAGAGTGAGCCTCAGGCTTCTTTACAGCCCCTCTTTGGGTGCTTGTACGCCTCCCCCCAAGTCTTTGCCAGGCTGAGCGCTCCCAGCTCTCTCAGCCTTTCCTCATGTGAGAGACGCTCCAGTCCCTTAATGGTCTTGGTGATCCTTCACTGGCCTCTCTCCAGTAGCTCCATCTCTCTTGTACTGGGGACCCCGACACTGGACCCGGCACTCTAGATGTGTCTCAACAGTGCTGAAGAGAGGGA